ATTTACACCGCAACCGAAAGAAAACAGACTCAAAAGAGCTAACGAGTTGCTTCGCTTGGTCGAAAGAGGTAAACTGCCGAATTTGATTTTCTCCGATGAGAAAACATTCGTTGTCGAGCAATTTGTAAACAAACAAAATGATCGTGTTTACTTGCTAAAGAGGTAAGCTGAAAATGTGCACTTTCGGTTGGCCACCAGAACTGAAGCGCCGGCCATGGTGATGGTGTGGGCAGCCATAACAGTCGATGGTCCCTATCCGCTCGTATTAACCGACGTGGCAACAGAATAAATGCCGAATATTATCGCGAAAATATTCTGGAGGGTGCATTGGCCTTGGGCATGCAAACATTTTGGCCGCAGACCTTGGATATTCCAACAGGACTCAGCACCAACGCACTAGCACGCGCCGCCCAAGAATAATTACAAAATGAGGTTCCTCGCTTTATTTCCAGTGCACAATGGCCACCAAAATCTCCGGATACCAATTGGACTAGGGTGTCTGGAGTATTTTGAAAGCAAGGTTGGCACTAAAAATACCAACGTGTCGATCACCTTAAGCAAGCGCTTCAGAGCAACATTCGAGCAGCATGTGACGGTTTCATTGGTCGTTTAAAGGTCATAATTCGTGCCAAAGGTGACCAATTCGAAGATATCTAAACTTATTCTAAAATTTGATGCCAATTACGACATTTTTGCTTTCATTCAATAAAATTAAAAATTATGGCGTTTTTATGCGATTTTTTTAGATTTATTCTTTTATGCCAAGAGGGTATTCTGAATAGATACAATTAGTCAAAATTGGTCCAGCCATTCTTGGAATTTAAGAATTCTAGCTAACATCCCCTACCAATACATATCCGATCTATTTTCTATCGGCATCTACGTAATGGTCAGACAATATTACCCGATGACCATAAAAATTGGAAGGCTTCTGTCCAGCCCTAAGCTCTAGCGCCATGCTAACTTCCGCGTCGATTGGTTTATAATTGTGACCTGTAAAGCAATTGGAAAATCAGGAAGTTTTAGTTCCATTTCAACCCCTTAACATTATGCGATCATCTCCAAAAATAATAGGGTTCTATTCTGACACCTCCATTTCCAATTTCGTGATGATCGGGCCATAATTGTGACCAGTAGCGTGATTACAAACACATAGTGTTGTGGGGTATAACAAATAAAAAGACGTTAAGTTCGGCCGAGTCGAACTTCTAATACCCTCCACCATTGGGTAAAGATTTTTTATGCAAAAGTATCTGGATTCAAGCGCGCTATAGGAAAACGTTGACCGGCGATAGAACCGATTACCAACTACAAATACCATTTTTTAGACAAATTCGTAGAAAAATGTGGGTAAACCTACCGTCTAACGGGGGCTACACGAAAACATTCACCTATATGTACAATGTGCACCCATCTGAGCTACAACTCATTACAAACTGCAAATACCTTTTTTTAGACAAATCCGTTTAAAAATGGGGCAAAAGTCATCAAAATACCGAATATCGGGAGGTACCCTTATATGAGGGCTATACGAAAATAGGACCTATATATACAATATTCCGCCACCAGAGCTGGAACCCATAATGAGCTACAAACCACTACGAGCTACAAATACTTTTTTTGGACAAATTCGTTGAAAATTTTGGCAAAAGTCATCAAAATACCGTATATTGGGAGGTACCTTTATATGGGGACTATATACAATGTTCCGCCTCCGGAGCTAGAATAATGTGGCTAAAACTATCCTTATATGGGGACCATTCCAAAACGTCGACCGATATATATCATCATCAATTAAAACCATCTTAGACACAATGCAAACTACTATACCAAATTTTAAGGCTCTACGTCAAATAATGTGAGCTGCACCGAGAGGAACGGACATGTTTAAATCGACTTAGAATTTTATGCTGATCATGAATATATATACTTTATGGGGTCTATGACGAATAGAGGTGTTACAAACGGAATAAAAAATGTAAAATACCATCCTTCCCAAGGTCGAGGGTATCAAAATATTGGGGGCTATAGGAAGACTTGGATCTGAACAAGTAATTTTCGGTCATAGATAGTAGTAGTAGTAGTAAAGTGTTACACAAATCATCTGAATACCGAATATGTGAAAGTACAATTATATGAAGAATCACCACAACTTGGAACATTATAGATATAGATGGTGATACAAAACTGTCAATATACACCAAATTCGGTACCAGCATAAATCGATATAGAATTTTATGATGATCTAGAATATATGTACTTTGTGGGGTATGTATATTTCGATTTTAAAAACAAGTAAGCAAAGGCTACAGTCGAGCGGGGCCGACCGTTGAATACCCTACAACACTGTAATTAACGATACCGAAATTTTTTCAATAGTTAGCATGGGGCTAGAGCTTAGGGCTGGGCAGAAGCCTTCCAATTTTGGCGGTCATCGGGTGATATTTAGTGGGTGAAATAGACCACAACATTTGTGTTAAATGAAAGTCATATTTTCCATTAAACCGCGAAAATTTTTAATCCCAACGAAATCACAAACAGATGAACAGGTCAATTCTGACCGTTACGTCGATGCCAATAGTTAATATATCGGATATATATAGCGAAATATATACAATGTGTATATACAAAGGAAGGGGATGTCAGTTAGAATACTTATATCTCAAGATTGGCTGGACCGATTTTGACAAATGTTGTCAATTCAGAATGCACTTTTGGCATAAAAGTATGAAATCTAAAAAAATCGCATAAAAATATGTCAATAATGATGTTAATATAGGTTATGTAATATTTTGTGACATTTTTTATATTTTTTCATATATTTTATCGCATGCGATTTTTTCAATTTGACTTATAATTTTGAAGTGTATATTTTGTAATACTTTTTCACCTTACAACACTTTTGTGTGAAAAAATACCAGAATTACTTACAGGCGATATCCGAAATACACAAAAGCCGTACTTCTGGCTTTTTTATGCTGTTTTCGTTGACGAATATAGCCAAATATCGTAGACAATCTAATCATATAGATGGGTCTAAATTTGGAGATATAGAGGGGCCTCTTCCTTTTGGAGATGTTCGCAAAATATTTAGGGGTTCAAATGAAACAAAAACAGAAAACAACTTCCTGATCACACAATTGAAGCCAATCGACACGCCTGAGAAGAGAGTTAAGGACAGGGAATTATTCTAGCATTTTGGATGAAAAATGGACCACAACAACTAACAGTATGACGGAGTGCTTAAATATTGGGCGAATTTCTCTGGTCAATGTCTCGTGACATAATTTCAAAAGCGAAATCTTCCAAAATCGATCTGGATATAAGGGTGCTTCTAACATATTGTAGTGTTGTAGGGTATCACATGGTCGGCCCCGCATGACTATAGCCTTTGCTTACTTGTTATACCCTACACCACAAGGTGGTCAGGGTATTATGTCTTTGTGCATTTGTTTGTAACAGGCAGAAGGAAACGAGATAGACCCATAGTTCCTTTTGATGATCTGCATAGAATCACATTCTGAGTCGATTTATACATGTCCGTCCGTCCGTCTGTCCATGTATTTTTGTAAACAAAGTACAGGTCGCATTTATTGCCCGATCCAGATGAAATTTTGCAAAGATCTTTTGTTTGGCCCAAGGACGAACCCTATTGAAATTGGAGATAATCGGTCAAAATTTAGATGTAGCTCCCATATATATCTTCGTCCGATCGGCCCGAATTGTATGGAATTTTGCATATACACCCATATTAGGCCTGAAAATATGTGTGCCAAATTTGATCGAAGTCGGTTCAGATATAGCTATAGCTCCCATATATAACTTCGTCCGATTTACCTTTTATTGTGCATCAAACGTCTAATATTTGCCCAAATGGGATGGAATTTGGCACATACCACCGAATTGAGTCTAGAAGGTAGTATGCAAAATTTGGTGAAGATCGGTTCAGATATAGCTATAGCTCCCATATATATTGTTCATCCGATTTGTTGTATTTGTTACCCACAGCCGTAATATGCACTCCATAACAACGATATTCAGGGAAATATATCAAATACAGCTCAGAAATATCTTTGCCAAATTTTATCGAGATCGGTTCAGATTTGGATATAGTTCCCATATATATCTTTATCTGATTTCAAATTAATTTTGCACCAAATGGGCAATACAAGTTCGAATTTAAAAGATACAAATGCTTTGGCATATTTTGTCCTTTGAATTTTAAATTATAATTATAATCATAGCGTGTATGATTGAATTCTCCCATAAAAACTTTTAATTATTAAGTGGAGCTCAACTAAATTAGCAAAGAGGTGTAGGGTATCATAAAATCGGCCCCGCCCGACTTTAGGACTTTCTTTACTGGTTTTTTTTAATATTTTTGTTATTGTTACGATCTTCTTCGGTGTTGACAATGCTTGTCTTCTTCTAAAATTGCACATATTCTGCAACGTTACCACAATTTTCAAAGTTATATTTCCCAGCATGGTTCAAGCATATACACCCTATTCTTTCAAATCAAGCAATAATTACAATTCACGAAATAACCACTAGTTAAAAAAACGTTAGATTGCGGTCCCTTTATTTATCTATATGCGGTATCCGATTATACACCTCTATGGATCCGGTATCATTCGAAAGGTCAGGAGTACATTTCTTAAGTATGTGTGACTTCGCTGGAAAATGACTTTCGGCATCGAAAATACTTACTCTTTAATGGACATTTTTATGGTTTTATGGTCCATTTTAATTGCTAATTATTATTCGCTAATCGTCTAAGTAACTAAATACATGCAAGATTTATTGCAACTGAATTTAAAAAAATATTATTTATCTTGTATTGTCTGAACATGGCCAAATCAAATTTCGTAACCATAACGACAAAATATTTACCCTTCCTCCATACTATCATGAAAATCCTGATATAATAAAGTATTGCAATATGGTGGCCAAACCATGGGCCTATATAGACCACTTCTGGGAAATAAGTAAACATTCCGTCGACTTGTTTTGTATATTGATTTGAAATTGATTCATTGATTTAATAAATAAATCCTGACGGCATGAAAGTGAACATAGCGCCCAACTGCTTCTTATATTTCACGTATACGTCCACGTAGCTTCGCACCTAACAAATTTTGCATTGTTTTCATATTACATCTAAATTTAATTCATTTGACCACAGTGCTAGAAAATGTTCGTTCCATTCCCAATCATTGAGGGTGTATGCATTGCTACAAGGCAAACGTAATAAATGATAATAAATAAAAAATGAAATAAAATAAAACAAAACAAATAAATATTAATTCTATGCCTTACCCAATAAAGTCATAATGTTGTGCATATAAATTCGCTGTATGCATCATATTGTAAATAATAGGCAGTACACTTTTCGAATGATGAGAAATTTGTTTAACCGAAGAAATGTTGTGGGTAACGTAAGATTTTTTAGGAATTTCAGATATGTGTTTTTAATTTTCCTGTTATTTGGTATTTTAAACAATATATGTCAAAATACATAAAATAAATATTTTTTTTATACCCTCCACCATACATAGTATGGAGGGTATATTATCATTCCGTTTGTAACCCATCGAAATAATAATTTTAGACCCAACAAAGTGTATATATTCGTTATCAGCGTAAAATTCTAAGACTATTTAGCCCTGTCCGTCTGTTGTAGTCACGCTGCAGTCAAAACAAATTAAGATAGGAAGCTAAAATTTTGCACAGATTAAGTTCGAAGATGGACTATATCGGTCCATGATATCGTATTGCCCCATATATAACGGTACCCCGATATTCGGTATTTTTATGATTTTAGCCACATTTTTCAATGGAATTGTTTGAAATTAAACGCAAGGAGTTCCTTGTGAGTACTTTATCACCAGAAGAGAATTATCTATATAGGTCCAAATATCGTATACCCCCCATATAACGGTACCCCCCGATATCCGGTATTTTGATGATATAGCACATTTTCCAATGGAATTGTCTGAAAATCCACACAAGGAGTTCCTTGTGAGTACTTTATCCCCTACTTATATACTTATCGTATATCCCCCATATAACGGTTACCACCCCCCCCCCCCCCCTATTCGGTATTTTTATGATTTTACCCACATTTTTCAATGGAATTGTCTGAAATTCCACACAAGCAGTTCATTGTGAATACTTTACCCCCAGAAAGTGAAATGTCTATATAGGTCCACAATAGCGTATATCCCCCCAAATATCGGCACCTTCCGATAATCGGTATTTTAATTTTTTTTTTTTTAAATTTCCTTATTCTCTCCAAATGGTGGAGGACATTTTTACTTGTTTTAACGTAGAACCCTTAATTAATGGGATTATAGCCTGTTTTAGATCGTATTTAATATGCATTTTAAGCATTAAGGCCATATTTGCGTGTCCGCTCTTCATTTTTTTCTCAACCGACATTTCGTAAGTATATTCCTGCAATATTTTATTTCATATTCTGAGTAGATAGTCGAATATATCGGGAAATTCGAAGGAACAATATACTCTAAAATAAAATGAGACACACAAAACTGATTCGGAACAAATATGCAATTTATTCTGAAATACAATTTACCATGCTCAAAAAATACCCTTTAAACGATTAATTACTATAAAAATTCGAGGTTTGTTTAAAAAGTGTGGCGAATTTATTATTGACATTTTTATTTGTCCAGGAATATAGTAATTTTCCGATATTTAAAGGTCTTAAACCATCATTTTCAATGATCTTGTTCAGAGTCTATTGTAATGCAGTTTGCATATTGTCAATCTTAAAGTAGCATAGTCCACCTGCACAGTTTGGTAACAAAGGAGGATTTATATCCAAAAATTTGGTTTTTTATTTCGCAAAAATTGCCATTATTAAAATATTGACATTTCTGCAACGCATATTTTTGGATACTTTTTAAATCAATTTTAAACAAGTAAGCGAAGGCTATAGTCTTGCGGTCCCGACCATGTGATATCTTAAAACTCAATAATGTGTTGTGGCCTCCTGGTATACAAATTCATTTTAGAAGAATTTGTCTTTGAAATAATGTCATAAAGCGCTGCCGTATGTTACACTTGCCCAACATTTACGAACTCTGTCGTGTTGTTGGGTATTCACAACAATTTCAAACGAAAGTTGTGGTCCAAATAGCTATATGGTCATATACAATGCTAGACTTCTTTTCTGTTCCTTAATATCCTCTCATGCTAAATTCCGTGTCGATTTGTTTTCAATTGTGACCTGTGCAGCAATTGGCTTAAGTTTTTACCCTGACCCTACCCCATGCAAAATTTCGTGGGGATCGGACCATAATTGCGACCTGTTTATAATATCCTCGACACATAGTGTTGCCGGGTGTAGAAAAACTTTAGAAAATCTTCAATTCAAAATTGTAAGTCAAATTTAAAAAAATCGCATGCGATAAAAAATTTGACAAAATTGAAAAAAAAAATATGTAACAAAAATATTCACTTTTTTTATTGGCATATTTTTAGATTCTATTAAATTTATGATAAAAATTGTAAAATCAGTCCAGCGGTTCTAGACTTATAAGCTTAATAGCTAAGATTTATTGATCTTACATATATACAGGGAGAGATGAAAACACTGCAACCAACTTCAGACTGCTGTAATTTCCAAGCCACTCGTCCGAAAGCTGTTAAAATTATTCCAGTGACAGCTCATTATATTGTTTACAAGTATATAAAAACATTTTGGTGAGAATTGTGCAGAATTAAAGTTATTCGTGACGGAATTCAAGCGTGATAGTGTGGCATGTGGAGGAAAACAGCAACATCAGCGGAAATGGTTCTAAAAGTAAATAAGCGAATTGATCGAAACCAGCGTCGCAGTGGCCGAATAATGGCTCGTGAGCTGAACATATCACAATATTCCATTCGGTAAATATTGAAATATAAACTCGGGGTAAAGCCATTGAAATTCCAAAAAGTGCAAGAACTTACACCGCAACAGAAAGAAAATAGACTCAAAAAAGTTAAAGAGTTGCTTAGCCTTTCCGAAAGTGTTGAACTGCCGAATTTGTTTATCTGCGATGAGAAAACATTCGTTGTCCAGCAGTTTGTAAACAAACAAAAAGATCGTGTTTACTTTCCAAAGAGGTCAGCTGAAAATGTGCACATTCGGTTGGCCACCAGAACTCAAGCGCCGGCTATGGTGATGGTGTGGGCCCCCATTACAGCCGATGGTCGCTCTCCGCTCGTATTAATCGACCATGGAATCAGAATAAATGCCGAATGTTATCGCGAAAATATTCTGGAGGGTGTATTAAAGCCTTGGTCACGCAAACATTTTGGCCCCAGACCTTGGACATTACAACAGGACTCAGCACCATCGCACTCAGGACGCGCCACTCAAGAATGGTTACAAAATGAGGTTCCTCGCTTCATTTCCCGCGCACAATGGCCACCAAAATCTACGGATACTAATCCGTTGGACTATTGTGTCTGGAGTATTTTGGAAAGCAAGGTTGGCACAAAAAAGTACCAAATTGTCGATCAGACTACAGACCGCAGAGCAACATTCAGTAGCCGTTTGATGGCCATAATTCGCGCCAAAAGTGACCAATTCGAGCAAATCTAAACTTATTCTAAATTTGATGCTTTTTCCGACATTTTTGCTTACATTCAATAAAATTAAAAAAAATTTAAAAATTATGGCGTTTGACTTTGATCATTTTTTATTTCACCCTGTACAATATGCTGTTAAATAGAATAAAACTTTTTGCTCAAAAAATACTCTTTAAACGATTAATTACTATATACTTCGAGGTTTGTTCGAAAAGTGTGGCTAATTTATATATAGACATTCATACAGAATATATATATACATATTTTTTTTTTTCAGAATTATATATTAAGCTTTTATTATTATTTTTTATATTGTTGTTGCAAAATGGTTAGGCTTATCCCTTTTATTGTTTTTTTTTTTTATAAAAACAACGTTTGTTTATTAGTGGAGAACGATGGTAATGTTTACCAGGGGGTAAGGCAGGGAATACCTAGGTTTCGGAAAGAGCCACCAATCCTCATCAGTTCCCTTGTTTTTTGTCTGGGATATTCTCCCCAGAAGTTATTTTAAAAATAACTTCTATGACAAAAAACATTTTTTACCCAAGTGACGAGATCGTAAGCTCAATAGAAGAGGAACCAAAGAATTAAATAAAACTAAAATTCTTTTGGAAAGTCTTCTAAATCTTACAACCGCACTTATAAACATTTACATCTTTCTCCACTTGTTATGCTTTCGTTCAACCTGAACGAAGAAGTATAACCATGTAAGTTGGTTTTGTCTGTTACAAAAAAAAAAAAAAAAAAAAAAAAAAAACCGAAACCTAGGTATTCCCTGCCTTACCCCCTGGTAAACATTACCATCGTTCTCCACTAATAAACAAACGTTGTTTTTATAAAAAACAACAATAAAAGGGATAAGCCTGACCATTTTGCAACAACAAAATACTACGGTATCCCGAACAAACAAGCCACACTGTTTTATTATTTTTTATATTTAAAGCTTTTAAAACATCATTTTTAATGATCTTATTCAGTTTCTTCTCAATCTTGCCGTAGCATAGTCCACCTGCTCAGTTTGGGAAGAACAGTGGATGCATATCCAAAAATTCATTTTTTTATAGTGGAATACTTCGCATAAATTGTCATCATCAAAATATTGCCATTAGGTGTTGATCAATTACACGTGCCACACCTGTGCAATCAAAAAAGCACTGCGAGCAAATGCTTCATATTTATACGATCTCCGGCCCCCAAACCTTGTGGAAACGTTACTCTAGATGAAGTTATAGTAATCGTATATTAATCATATCATAACCCATTTCGTAAAAACACCCTTTTTCAAAAAATATTTATGTTTGTAAAGAGTAAAATTTAAAAAAAATATTTGTGTAGGTAGTAGGAATCATCTATCAGAAAAAAAAAAATCAAAACCCCCCCCCCCCCCCCCCCCCCCTCCTTTCGATTTTTGGATTGGATACTTTTTGAATTAGTTTATATAATTTAAAAAAATAACAACCAATAATAAGTGGAAAAAGATTACTTTACATATTCGTAAACTTGACTGTTAGAAATTTCGAACACTGGTTTCTGGAAAACGAAAAATCGGAAAATTTCTCTTAGTAAATTTTTGACATCAGTGGGCCCAAATTACCCTAAAATGTTTTTTTCCAAAAACGAAAATTAAAATTAGATTAGATCTCTCATGTGTGTGCAAATATGTTTTAACTCCTTTTTGAATATCAAGCTAAAACTGAAGACAATCCAAAACTCTAGTAAGCTATACAGTTGACAAAAAGAACCTAAATAGTGAAAATTGCAAATTTTGTTGGCATAATTCAACATCAACAAAATAATCAAAAGTCGACAACACTTATCCTGCGAAAACTCAAAAATCTCTATACTTTTTGAACGAACCTCGTGCCCGTTAATATAGGCCCGGTCGTTTAATTTTTGT